AATGGCATCAAGTTTCTTTTTCATAAAAAAGGTATGTATACGGCAGCAGGATAAAAAACATTAAACAAGCCAAAAAAAACACACCAAGTGAATTTATCAACTTTTAGGGCGAGCAACATCCAGGAACCGCTACTATTTTTATCACTGAAATTTTGGCTCTTAGAGAATCAGAGAAATCTATATTCTTCTACAGTATGATGACATTCAAATAAAATAAAACTTATCTACTTTAGGAAAAATATGAAACAATCAAAATAATGCTTTGTATCAAGTAAAAAATAAAGAAAGACTTGATTTAGAGAGGAACAATCAAGTAACGGGCATAGAATAATACCTTCAACCACACCATGTCCGTATCGCACATCAATAGCTCATAACCAAAAGGAAGTATAGCATTTATAAGTAAGACTTTCTCTCTCCCCATTTTATGAAATGTAGGAGAGCCCCAGCCAACATCAATTGTGCTCATATGGCTGCCCATATCGAAGACTGGAATACCTTTCCAATACAAAGCCTTCAAAAGTTTGGTGTCCATAGCACCTAAATCACAACAATTCCAATTTATTGTCCACTTTTAAGCACAATTTCTGCTTATGTGACTGCTAGAAGATTTGACAACTTACCAACAAGAAGATTAGAAACACCAAGATCTGTCAAGTGTTTAACCCAAGTCAGGATGAAATCCATAAATGCAAAGTTACCGAAAGTGACTATAATGACATTATCTTTTGCCCTTTCTTCGACCAGTTCTTTTGTTAGACTAAAGGACTTTAAAGGTGGCATTTTTGAAGTACGAGGAGGAGACTCCCAAATAGGTCTCAGGTTGTTGCTGCCAGGTTGTGATGCTGTTCCTGAAGGTTGAGAAATGTTGATTGACTGACCACTGGCAAGAGAAACCCCATCTGCCATATTTATCGAGTTGAGGAGATCAGTTAAGAGAATCATGTATCGGAAGAAGGAAAAGCTAAAAGAGTGAAGTTGATGTAGTGAGGCAGAACATCGTAATAAAAGGCATCAAAACAATTCTTGCAACATACAACCAAATAGGCATTTATGCAAAAGTTGCATTATAATTCCACAAAAAATATGGCCAATTCACGAGTTAGAAAAAAAAAAAAAACTTATAGCAAGAACTAATAAAACTAGAACTACACAAAAAGTCAAACTAACAAAATAAAAGAAATGCAAAAAAATAGAGCTCTGTTCTTCCAACCCATAACAAGGTTTCATTCTGACAAGGACCCAGTAACGAATATGATGTTTTTTGGTTTTTCTAATAAACATGCTCAACATTTGCATAAAATGAGAAGAAAATCCAGAAGCTTAAAGAAAGAAAGAAGAAAGGAAAAAGCAGCTTACTTTGGGAGAGAGGAGGAGATGAAAACCAAGAAGTAGAGACAGACTGAGTGGTGGAAGCGGATGGAGAGTAAATGGCAGAGAATACGTAAAACGAAGACACCACTATCCCCACTATAACGGTGGCGTATATGGTCAGAAACAGCGGTTTGGAACCAGCAGCTTCTTGAACTGCGTTTCTCCATCCCCCCATCTTTGCGTGGGTTCGATCCTGATTGCCTCACTGATCTCAGACGACCATCATTGTCTTCGCAAAAATTTGATCTCTCAAGGTGTTGAATTTTTCAGGATGGAATCTCAAGACAAAAGAGTGTTGGATGTATAATTTTAAAGAATTTTTAGATCAAATTTGATAGCTGTAAGTTGTACGAACTCACCTGCTCCGCTAGCCCGGCCGCCGAGTCAACTTCCCCAGCTTTGTCTTATTCTATCGTGATCAGTCACTTCCTTTGTTTAAAACAGTTTTCTTATTTCTTTATTGTTCATTTTATATAAGTAAGTATGCCAAATTGGCAACAAATTCATATTAATTTTTGTTCTTAAAATTTTATTGATTAAGTTATTACCATAATTTATATAGTGGTCCACATCTCTTTCTATTTGCTACTTTATTTGATAAGATAAATGAAAGGATATAACCAAAGGGAGACAAAAAAGACCTTGACAGGAAGAAGGATGCAAATACAAAAAACAAGAGATCCTGATTTCTCTGTCAGAATTACACTGTCGAGAGAGGCTAATAAACATGGTCTTGATATTCTTGGGGAAGACAAAGTTTCGTATTCTCTTTGTTTTTAATTTTTTATTTTTATAGAAATTAAGATAAAAAAATTGAATTTTATATATTTTATATTAAAATTTAAAATTTTTTAATATATATTTAATATTTGTTAATATGAAGAAGTAAAAAAATGATGAAAAATATATTTGTAATATAAAAAAGAAAGAGCTTTAAGTGCCTAAAAAATATTTTTATTTAATATAAATAAAAAGGAAAGATAAAAAAAAGAAAATGAAACAGAAAGAGTATTTATTTATAATATTAGTTTTACATATGAATATCTAATTTTATGATATATATATATATATAAACTTACATGAATTTCGAATTCTATTTCGGGAAAGTGGGTAGGAAGGGAATCTTGCAAGCCAGTCCTGCGTAGCATTCTCTCTTCTACAGCTCAGTTAAAATTTTATTCAATCACCAGATCACTTGAACCTTTTGTTTGAAGTAAATAAATAGGAGCTGCCCATTTTTTTATTCTTACCAACCATACATATAAAGTAATAGATTAATGCTATCTTTGGGTTGAGAATTGTAGCTATTATGCTGCAAAGGAAATGGACAACAACTAATGAGACAGGCTTAAGACCCTTATGCAGTGATTATTCCCTTTGCACGATGACATATTACAGCTGCGTTTTAGCTCTCCCTGCATGCAAAAATCCAATTCCACGAATCTTCGTCAATGTTTTTCTTCCTTGACCCGTCTCTAAAGAGTGAAGAGGGAAGACCTCCCACTTTCCCTACGGCCTCTAATTTCTCTTCCAAGCTGTTACAACTTACATATATCAGGGAAAGAAGAAATTAGCTGAAGGTAGTTTAAACCATCATGTGGTTCCTTGGGTTTTCCACAAGGTGGAGGCACCTATGGATTATGGGTGCAATTCTGCTAGTCATCCTTGTCACAATGATCTTAAAGAAGTTTGCCCTCTACCTTGAGGCACAGGCAAGCAAATGTGCAGATCAGGAAAGGTCGCACAGGGAAGGAAAAAACAATCATGATCATCAGCAACCTTCAAGAAAGAGCTGCAGTTTGTGCTGCAATATTGGTGTCGTAACCAGGACTTACGCACTTGAAGAGCTGAAAATGGCGACTAGTGATTTTAGGATCAGGATTGGGGTTGGAGCCACTTCTTTTGTGTATCTTGCTGAGCTTGGTGATGGAAAATTCGGAGCTGTCAAGCGTGTGATGGAGCAGAGAGGTGGCAGCAAGAAGATCTTCTTGGACGAGGTTTCTGTCTTGCTTAGGATTTCTCATCCAAATTTGGTGGGATTGCTGGGTTTCTGCTTGGAAAAAGGTGACCAATTTCTCTCCATCCCTTATGCATAAATTCCTGAAAGTATCCTACGAAGTATTTGTAACAATTATGGTAGAGCATATTCCATGCTCAAAACATAGTTACTATTCTATGAGTATGTACGGCCAGAATTCATCAAGAACCTTTTGATATGCAGTCTGTTTTCTTTTTTTTTTTTTTTCCTAAATTGACAACTATTTTGCTTAGATAATATTGACAGATTTTAACCCAGAAGCAATGACCCAATTCAAAATCAGCCCATTTTGATAAGTTCCGACCTACCTCATTTGTGACCAAACTATCTTGCACAAGTTATGGGCTCAGGCCCTAGCCTTGCCTTTGGTGCAAGTGGAGCCAGCATGATCCATCTCTCATTTCTTTGGGTGATCGTTCCCATGTACAGAAAGAGTTGTTCTGGCTTGGGTTGGGCTTTTATTTACATAAAACTAACAATTTGCCTTAAAATGTTGAAGCAGGAGAACAACTTCTACTGCTGGAATACGTGCCAAACAAGAGTCTCTTTGACAGGATGCACACATACCATGGCCAATCCTCAGGGATACTGTCATGGTCAAACAGGTTGAGCATTGCCCTCGACATTGCTCGAGCCCTGGACTACCTCCATTCTCAAGCTGATCCACCCATAATCCACAGAGATGTCAAGTCCTCTAACATTCTTCTAATTGACAATAACCGTGCCAAGCTTGCAGATTTCGGGCTTTGCAAGCTGGGCTATGACAAGCCAGGCTCTCAAAACCCAACCAACGTCAAAGGTTCATTTGGTTATGTTGACACCAATTACCTCAAAACAGGCCTGGTATCACCGAAGAGTGATGTCTATAGCTTTGGGGTCCTGCTGCTAGAACTGATAACGGGTTTGAAATCAACACAAGGCTCTGTCACATTGGCAGAATGGACGGAAGAATGCAGGAAACATCATGACGTTGAGGTTCTGGCTAAAATGTTGGACCCAAAACTCAACGGAGATGCAAATTTAGAGCAACTGAAGGTCTTGATTGATTTAGCTAATGCAGCACTGCTTGAAAATTCAGAAGGGAGGCCAGTTATGAGCCAGATAGTTGATAGGATTTCGAGTTGTATGGAACCACAACCTCATCCTCCTTTGCCGGTATAAATCTGTTAATACATGTACATAACATGCTTTATAATCTTTTGTCTTTTCCCCTAGCTACATCACACATTAATTCATTAACCATAAATGTTCGTGTCATTGGTGCATATACACTTTTAATTTTTGAGATAAAGGGAGGAAATGTATTATTTCAAGTGCAAAGAATTCTATGACAGAAAGGAAGTTTCTCTTCTTTTCCATCTCTAATTTATTTCTCTCAGAAAACTTGCTCAAATTCCTCCAAATTCTTATCTTCCTGTCACATACTAGATTAGAATATACAATTTCATTTCAAGGAATGACCCTTATCTTCATAGTTTCTGCCGTGGTTTCATATACTCTGTTCCCTCCATGACCGTAATCTAGGATGGGTTTGTATTGAATTTAGAGTCGAAAAAACTGGGGGAAAAAAAGAGAAGGGTCAAGCACTAATAAATACATACATGACTTTACAATTAATTCCGATTCTTTGTCAACTTAATTTGGTATAATAAAGTCCCAAGGTATCAACAACCTAACAAGTCAAAGTCGTTTAATTTTTATTGCAAGCATTCACTGCATTTACATTTAAGTTTATCTAAATTTTGATTAATTTATTACTACACTTTAATATTGAAAATTTACTTATTAAAATTTTACACAACTCCACACATTCGAGTATTCTCGATTCATTAATTAATATATGATCTTCTTTTTTAAAAAATAATATTCGAATTCTCTCTTTTTCAATTATTAAAAAATAAAATCATTACACAACTGTATAAGATTCAAAAACCACATTCTATAATTAGTAAAAATTTTTTATAATACTATACAAAGCTCGATGTTTCCTTCAAGAACACTTTCCTTCTGCCATCTATTGGGCAGCATAGATGTGATTCACAAGCAAAATACGTATGGACAAAAGCCTAAGTCTGAGTTGAAGAGTGTAGCAATTCTTTTTGTTGGTTAGTGTTCACTTGAAAAGAGTTAAAATTTTTTGTTGTTTATGGTGCTTTGACAGTCTATTAGTTAAAAGAGTTAAATTTTGCTATGTATTCACTTGAAAAAAAACTCTAGCCGGTCAAAAACCCCAACCCAGCAGCTGATCATCAGTCATGACCCCACGCAGCTACTTGTTTTGAGAGTCAACCATGGCTCCCAATCGAACCAAGTATTCTCAAGAACCCCTCTCTCTCTGTCTACATTCTTTTTTAAAAAAGAAGGCATGATTAATGGAAATAGAATATACAATAGTTTTACTAATAGACTGTCAAACCACCGAATCCAACTGGCTTTGTCTGGCTTTGACTTCTCTCCATCGGGAGGATTAATTTAGAGTATATTAACCATATTGGATCCATGTACTTATGATAAATTTGATCCCCCTATCTTAATTGTTTATTATTATTTTTATACGATTGTTTAAACTTTTAATAGCATGTTTATACCATATTGTATGTACATATTACGTACGTGCATGTGTACTTCGAATGAAATCAAAGCACGTGTCTCTGGTGCATGGGTTCCCGCACCAAATTAAAAACCTAATTTAAGTCAAAGCATGCTTAATGAATTGTTAAACTCACATTATATTAGGGATTAAAGTATTGAGGAATTGACAGATGGGCCATTTTGGCCAAAAGAAGCACTATTTACTTTGATATATGCCTTAATTGTTAAATGATCAATTTGTGCGCCCCTCTCCAAATATATAACTAGTAGGATAGAATATAGTGAAGTGAGAGTGGATGTGGAACACTTCCAAAAACAGCCACGCTCTTATCTGTAAAGTCAGAGAATGACTTGTAAAGAAAGTGATTAGCATGAAATCAATTTGATGATTAAGCATTATTAATGATCACACTGTAATATTTATGGGTTATTTTTGGGACCTTTCTTTTTGCTTGATCCATCTGTTTTTGCCCCTTTACAAGTAGGGTCACTCTCTGGGCTTCGATAACATCATCAAAAGGTGGATTTAATCAGGATTGGTATCCACCCCAGAAGTTGCATAGCACCAAAAGAGAATATAATATATCGGAGTGGGGTAGAAGAGGAGGATTTGTTTTTGTTTTTTTTGGCTTCTCATCTCATCCCATGCCACATTGTCTTATTCAGAATAAAGATGGAACTTATAATAAACAAAGCTCTAGAGAGGGACAGAGAAACAGGAGGGGGAGAATATAATAATAGTATTCTGCTAAATGTTAATTAATGCAACTTAGCAGAGAGAAGTCTAATATTGAGAAAAGGGGGATACCCAAAGCCCTCAAACAGTCCTTTAAAAGTTGAAACTTATCTTGATTACAAAAACAACTAGCCAGCATACAATTTGTTTGCAAACGGGGAGTGTCCCTGGTTTTGATTTTTGAGTGGTTTTGTTTTGGCCCATAGGATATACAATTGCCATACCTAGCTACGCACGTATTCGGCAGGCACAAGGCATGGGCTGGCATGCATTAAATCTCACTCTTGTTTGCAGTCTGCGTTGTACGGTAAATTGAAATTAAACCATCACCATTTTCTTAACTAGCACAAGTTTTTCATGTACCTTAACAAACGTAGAGTCATGCAGGCTTAACTTCTCTAGTATGCTAGCCCAGTTCCAACCAGCACCAGTACTAGTACTAGTACTAGATATAGAAAAATGCAGGGAGCATCCAACAGAGAGAGTGGCACTGCGTCCATACATGTAGAATTATAGCAGTCAATGCCCTCAAAGGAAAAAAAACACTTCAGTCAAAGTACTGGGGGTACTAATTTTGCATATAGTCAACAAACATACACAATGATTACCGATATTGGAGGCAGAATTGATACCAGCTAATCATATCCGAAGCTGATTTAACATTGAAATCAAATCGTTCCAGAGGCTGCCCCTGCTGATATTTTGTGAACGGATGCCCGTGCTTAGCTGCCAAAAAAGGTACATGGGCACAAACCCACAGACAATGGCAAAAACAGAATTCGTTAGATTGAAAAGGTATGCTGATGTCAAATTCGTGCAAGATGATGGGGACCGGACCTTCCCTGTGAGTGATGGATCCACAAGCCTTGCCAAAGAGAGGATGGAGAATCTGGGCTTGATCACGATCTTGTTACTTTTTTGATAGTGTATAAGGTTTTATTATGTGAATCCATTCGAGTAAAATCAAACATTATTCTTTGTTTGCAGACATGGGGTGGTACGAAACAACCAAGTGAATGTCATCTTCAAATGTCACACCTGTAATAGTGGGAGATCTCTCACTATCTCTCCCCCTAGAAAAAAACAAATGATAGCTGGAACCAAGTACTGACCTTGAAAAGGAAAAACCAAAAAAAGAGGGAAGAAGTGGATAATCCGATTCCCAAATCATTCACAACAGGACGTCCCCTGCTCCACACTTCTGTTATTTTACTCGCCCTAAAACTATAGAATTAATTTAATCAGACGAACTCAATTTGACCATCTAAACTTGTTAGAGGCGCCTATCAGCTTATAGCCAACCAACAACCATCTTTCCTAATACAACAAATCTCCAAAAGCGAAATCCTATATAAAAATGAAAAACCAAAAAAATAAAACCGGTAATAAAATAAATGACCAAGTTGCGTTAGATTCCATTAATCTTCCTCAAAGAGTCATTGCCACAGTGGCAATAGCTTTTAAAAAGGGATTTTCCTTGTACCATTATCAGTTGAATATGATTAGATTACAACTTACAATTCTGCTGATATTCATTAAGAAAAACCAAGTGTCAGTGTAGAAACAGGGATGCCTTCCATGCATTCTGGAATAGTTTCGACCGCACCAGTCCAGTCCATATGGGAGACCAGCCACCATCTCTTGCGGGCTCCAACTATTTGGAGGATTAGATCCTAAGCTTCAAGTTCTAAGCGACAATGAAAACTCTCACAGCTAACATTAAAATAAAGCACCTCAAATTGCGGCTGCGATTTACTTTAAATACTTTTGATAAAGAATTTCAAAAGATCTGTTTTCTTAAGAGGATATACTATTAATATTTTTTATAAAAATTAAGATATTTTTAACTATGAACACATAAGTCCATTTCATAGAAAAAAAAAAAGTGCATTTGCATTAGTAAGAAAACCTCCAAATTTGAAAGTCAGGGAAAAAGAGCTTACAAGGAGTTTTGAGTTTGTTTATGCATTTCTTAGTTACGAAAATCTTATCTGCACAGCTATTACGACAGAGAACCTGCATTTGGACACGTTTGACTACTCAGATGTCAACCCTTTTTTTTTGTATACAAGTAGCATAGCAGTATAAGGTTTTGGCGATCACCGTAGAATTCACCAAAATTCTACCAACATGGAGCCTTCTCATGACACCTGTCGCATAGGGCATACTTGTCAACCAAAGAGTTTTGATTCATCGTTAGGTCCAACGAAACGTAGGTGCTGGTATCCTTTTGTCGACAAGGAGCCACGTCAGTGTCCCAGAATAGAATCGTAGTCCCGAGGCACTATTATTGGAAAGATGGGAGAGAAACGCATATCTACGCGCGGAACAGTGCGTGCGTAGTATTAATACATACGGGTAGCGTAGGAGTGGTTATCAATTCCCTAAAAAGTCATTTAACAGGAAAATCGGAGTACTTTTGTTTGAAAATAAAAGTTGTTTTTCAATTTCCAGGATCTGCCGATTCTTGCTTCAATTTATGACGCATGTAGTGATGTAAAATGCAAAATATCTAGAAGATTAATTGAAAAGTCAATTGAAAATTAAAACGTAATTGAATTAAATCATCTTTTTTAAATAAAAATGTTTGCATTTTAAAGGAATATTGTTATTTTTTAACCATAGATTATTTCAAATTATTTTAGTCAAATTTTATATTTAATGTTATTTATTTTATATATATTAAAATGATTGACTACTGATAAGTTCAAGTCAATCTTTTAAATTTTCTCAAAGGTTGCAAAGACAACATAAATTATTTACAATCTAAAAGTCAAAATGACAACATTGTCAAAGAGAAATTAATATTCCTTGCACTAATTAATCTCAATAAATAAAATGAACTAATACAAAATAAACATTTTAGGGCAGGCGTGGTATCGACGCGCGAAAGAGATGGT